ACTGCATTTAGGAACCGGAGTCTTCAAGCCGGGTGTCTCCAGATGTAGCTGCCCCTTATCCAGGACCGTCCCGAGTCCTCCCTCCCCAGGCTGACGGAGGAGGACAGCGCATGTGATGTTGCCTCATTTCTGTTTCTGTCCATGTTACCGGTTTCTATCGCTGCTATAAAAAGTTACCAGGAAATTAGTGGCTTCAAACCACACGGATTTCTTGCCTTACAGTCGTAGTTCAGACATCCCACGTGCGCCTCCCTGGGCTAAAGTCAAGGTGTCGGCAGGACTGGTTCCTTCTGGAGTCTCTAGGGGGGCACCCATGTCCTTGCTTTTTCCCGCTCCTAGAGGCTGCCTGCACTGCCTGGTCGTGGCCCCTTCCTCCCTCCGAGGGGCCCGCAACCGGTCCTCTCATGCGGTATCACACTGACCTTCCAGCACCTCCTTCCAGCTTGAAGTGCCCTTGTGAGCACTCTGGGCCCACCTGGATACTACAGGATGCTCTCCCTTTCTTAGAATCGGCTGGTTAGCGACCTCCCTCCCCTCTGCCAGGTTACCTGACACGCGCACAGGTTCCTGGGACTAGGATGTGGTCTCTCTGTGGGACCGTTATTCTGTCTCCCGCACCTGTTGACCAGCCCACTGCTTGAGGCCATCGTTCCATGTAAGCCCCAGAGCTCTCTTCTCAGCTAAGCGAAGAAGAAGGGCTTGTTTTCTAGGTGCTTCCTTTGTCCCTAGAGGAGAGGGTGAACTTGCTGACAAGCACCTGGGACTTGAGGAATCAGCCACGCGGCCCTGAGGGGTGAGACGAGATCTAGGTGACAGGTGTGCTTACAGTCAGATGACCAGGCAGCTTCTCCCCAAGCGGAAGCCCTGAAAGTGGGGTCTCTGCCCCAGGGGCACCAGTGGTTTGTGGGTTTTGCTGCCTGCCCCTGTCCTAATGGCCCCTTCCTGAAGCCTTGAGAGACAAACATGTTCTATCCGTTTGTCCCCTATTCCTGTGATTTATCCTGAGGAACTTATTCAATAAAAAAACACCCATGTGTGAACCTGAGGCTGTCCAGTGTGGTAAAAAGCAGGACACATCGAGAATGCCTGCCGTGTCTGTTTTTAAATGATGAGACAGTGGGGAACGTCTGAAAGGCTCTCAAATGAAACAAATCTGAAAAACAAACCGCACGTGTGCCCATTCCAGCTGGGGCTGCATGTGGTCCGGACACAGCAGAGGAAAGGACGTGTGGGAGCAGGTTTGCACAGGTTTTTTTACATTTTTTTCCACCATGTTTTTTATTAAAGCGTGTAAATGAAGCAAGCCGCAGCTGCAGCTAAGCTTTGAGGGGCAACACGAGGGGAGGGAGGAAAACACGTCCCCCTTTGTCAGTCACCTCAAACTGAAGGGCAGAGGGAGCAGACACACAGAGCAAGTGGGTTTTCTCTTGACATTAAGTGTGGCCCCTTGTTCTGTTGACTTTAAACATGCCAGTCCCCATTCAGAGATACTGCCTGCTAGTGCTCTGTCTCCAATCTTAATGATTTTTAACAAATATTTTGATTGGTTGTTTCGAGAACTTTTCTCAGTAAGGTCACGTAGTTTACTGAGGGGATTACAGAACTCCATTAAAAGTCTGGCTAGGAGGGATTGTGCTTCTGAAGTGGTTTCTTGGCTCAGCTGCGTCTAATCCCAAACGTGAAAGTAGACAGAACGAGCTCAAAGGAAGGCCCTTTGGCTCTTCTGCATGCCTTCTCTACCCTTCTCCCGAGGCTTTCCAGAAAAGGGAATGGCCTGATGTTGTGTCCATTACAGCTGCGTGAAGGCATTCACTTGCTCTTCCACTGGCAGGCTCTGGCAGGGCTGGGGCCTGTGACAGGGATGGCTACAGAAACCATAGACTCCAACGAGAAGCTGGCGCCTTCTCTCTGGGTCACGTTCTCTTCTCACTGCCTATATTAGGGCCTTTGCCTCCCCTGAAAAGCTACCGTCTACCCTGCTCTTCTGGTCAGCGGTGGTCATACAAGTGCAGCAGAGCTCCCAGAGCCAGCCCCGGGGGACCCCACCGCACTCTCCCTGCGTCTCCCACTTTGGGGAGGCATGTGTGGCTCCCTGGGAGGCCCATTCTGTGGGTTCTGCCTGTCCCTGAGGATACAGATCCTTCCCTGGGACTGGTCCTCCACCCTTCCTTCTAGTCCCTGTTGAAACATTCTGGAAGCCCTCCAGGGCCTGCGTGTACCCCAGCTTGGACTGTTGGGATTTCTCCATTTCTCAAATACGGTGACTGATGGGATCACAGATGGACCCTTGGCACAGCCCCAAGGCACAGCGCCTCACTGCTGCCCCCTTGCTGTGAGGGCTGCCCACTTTTCTTCTTTGTCCCCAGCCAAAGCTGTCTTGGGCTGCCCTGTGTAGACAGAATCAATCCCTCCGGTCCGAATTCTGCCTTCAGGGCTGAGGGCGGCAGGGACAGCCGGGGAGGGTAGGTGGGGGTAGCAGATGAGCAAAGAGGTTATCTGCTGCCATCGCAGTCACAAACATCAGCCAGCCCACAGATGGAGGAAAGGATGGGTGGCACCACAGTCACTGGAAAAATCAACAACGGATAATAATAGCAGTCTTGCTTCACACAGCTCTGCCAGTGGACAAAAAGAGCCAGCTCTCCGAGCCCCAGCAGGGAGCACTTACTAACTTTAGTTTTTTTAATTATATCTTAGAATCTCTTGAAAGAAATGCCACGCTGGTGTCTCCAAATTAGGAATTCTCTGATTTTGTCTAAAACACTCACATTTGTCTACTTGCGCTGAAGTGATTCTTGGTGCTTTCAGGGCTCATTAAGTGGCTTTAGAGCCGGCATTCTGGTGTGAGCTGGGGGCGTGAGGGCTCACAGGAGTGGTAGGTACGGGACAGAGGTGTGATGTCCGGGCCCCACGTGACTGCACACCCACTGTCCCCACAGGAGACCCTCTGCAGTGTGGAGCCTGGGTTGGGCAGTGTGCTCTTTACATCGTGATCATGATTTTTGAGAAGTCTGTCGTCTTCATCGTCCTCCTCATACTTCAGTGGAAAAAGGTTTGCCTCTTGTCCCTTCTCTACCAGCTCCTTGGGACACCAAGCAAGGTGGTACTTTTTCCCCTACCTCCCACACATTCCCAACCTTATTAGAAAACCAAATTTGTTGTTTCTTTCTTTCTTGCCTGCATGAATGCAGCCTGGATTCCACGTGATAGGGCCGCCTGTCGAGAGCAGGAGCTTGTTTTTCCACTTAGCCTCCATCTCTTTGGATCATGCAAACGTCTGCTCTAGGTTAAGCTTTGGGATACGTAATGGAAGTAAGAGTCCCTGCCCTCAGATTGCTTACTGGCTGATGCGGTCTTTAGGCCTCATGACTGCAGCCCTCAGGAGGGTGCTCTCTACATCTGCACATGTCCTCACACACCCGTCTTTGCCAGTGGTTTAATTGAGCCCTTTGGTGGCACAGGAAGCTCCTGGTTGCACGTTGTTCCCAGGGTTCCCTTGGCTTTGCCCTCTGGCCCCAGTGCCCATTTCTTCCATGTGGCCACATGAAACCAGCCAAAGAGCCTTCGGAAACAAGTAGCTCAGAACTTGGCTTTCCTTTGGTTTTATTTGTATCTGCTTTTTATTTTTTAAGAAAATAAACCAAGGCTTTTCAGAGCTGTTGTCCTTCGGGAGGTGGTTGGGGTGCAGGACTTATGTAAGAAAGCGGCCTGGCACCTCATTGCTAGTGCCTGTAATGAGCATCCACTGACCTCACTCCCTCTATCTCCCCAAAGCCTCCCCACCCTCCATGCCTCTTGGTGTGTGGTTGTCAGCCCACTACATTTCCTGAGTCCACAGCCCTGGGCAAGCTGTGAAAGCCCCAACTGCTCCAAGTGCTCTCCCTGGCCTGCCTTGTTAGCAGTCACACTTCGGGATGGCCTGTGCAGCCCTGGGCATGAGGTGCTCTACCCATCAGAGTTTGGGGGACTGTGGTCTAAGCTATGCCGCCCTGCTCAGGGCCTCATGGATTGACCCGTGCCGCCACCCCCACCCTCAGGTGCCTTCCCTGTGGTGTCTCCCTACCTCACGGAGTCTGCTTCTCTTTACAGGTGGCCCTGTTGAATCCCATTGAAAACCCAGACCTGAAACTGGCCATCGTCATGCTGATCGTCCCGTTCTTTGTCAATGTCAGTGCCATGTTGCATTTTCCTACCCCCACGTGCTCTCTGCCTTCCAGTGTCCCATTCACAGTTCAGAGTCTGACAGAGAAAGCCCCTTTTGGCCCCCACGTCCCTCTGTGTGAGCATTTGCCCTCTCCCCACCCCCACTCCAGACGTGAAGATGGCAGGATTGCTTTCTCAACAGGCACACCCCATGCTCCGGGCCCCCTGTGCAAGATGGAGGGTCCTGGGAACTGTCTTGCCCTCCCTGCCAGGGGACCTTCCACCAACGAGGCCCACCACATGCATGACAAGGATTTCTAGATCAGGATGCCAGGCTTCTCTCCCTGTCGTTTACACAGAGCTCCAAGAGAAACTCACAAGCACACTGGCTAGAATTAGGAAACAGTGAGAAGAAATGCTACAGGCACCTGGGGCTGACAGACATGGCCGACTATGCAGGCCAGCCACTCAGCCCGTGGAAGGAGCCCCAACCAGGAGCCCAGAGACCTTGTTAGTGGCTAAGGCAAAGGCTCAAGGCAGGCTGTCCCCATCAGTCACCACCACTCGGGGTGAAGAGGGCCAGGGCTTTCTTGCCGGTTCTCTGATAAGAAAGTAGAAACAGAGGAAGTGGAGAGTGGGTGTCTCTTTGAAAGCTTGTGAGAGAGAGCAGGGGGACTGGATGAGGGTTTTCTTCCCCTTGTCCTGGACGTAATCTGGAGCGGGTAGGAGGCATGCCGATGGGGTCTGCTCTGCTTTCACAAACGGCTTATCCCGGAGTAACGCTCAGGTTCCCTCCCCACAGGCTTTGATGTTCTGGGTAGTGGACAATTTCCTCATGAGAAAGGGGAGGACGAAAGCTAAACTAGAAGAAAGGGGAGCCAACCAGGACTCGAGGAATGGGAGTAAGGTCCGCTACCGAAGGGCCGCATCCCACGAGGAGTCAGAGTCTGAGGTAGGGCTGAGCCCCCGTGCTACCACCCGACCCAGGGAGGTCTCTGGTCTCTGTTTGCATCTGGTCCTCTCAGCACTAGCCAGGGGGAGGGAGAAGAGGCTGACAGCTCCATCTGGCAGGGACCCATCCCTGCAGCCCCTGGCCTTCCCAGGGCAGGAAGGTGGAGCACCCAGTGTGGTGAGGGCTCCGACAGTCCCTCCCCAATCCCTCCGCCAGTGGAGGAAGACAGGGAAGGGAGGGGCTGCCTTTCCCTGCCTTTCCTTCCAGGGAAGCTGGCACAGACTCTCCTGAGCCTGATCATTGACCTTTAAGCATTCAGGTGTTTGAATCCCTGCCCACCACTACAGAGCAGCGGAAGTGTTGGCTGAGCTCACTAGAAAAGTCTAAAACGTAGGGGTAGCCAGACCTTCCCAGGGAACCTCACCTTCCCATATTTTCAGGTTTCCTACATTCAAGGGTTTGGACTTGGAGGAGACTGGTGGTCATAACTAGGAGCATGGAGGCAAAGTTACACTCCCTGGTCAGCCTGCACTTCTGTGTGCTGCAGGGTGAGGCCAAGGCTGCCTCCTGAAAGGGCCTTGTCAGCCCCCAGGGTGGGGCTACAGAAATGGCTGTGGTGACATCTTCCCTGAGAGACCTTCAGACTGCATGAGGTGAACGTGTCTGAAGAGCTCTCTGTAAGACTGATCGTTTTGAGATTGAGGTGTTAACGAAAGCCCTGTGAGGACCCTGGAACAGTCTGTTTAACTCCTGGGGGCATCCTGGAGGGAGTTTTGGAAGCTGGGTAGAAGAGCAGGACAGAGGGTAAGCCCATGTCTTCTCTAGGGGTGCCTAGGATCCGACCCGGGGCTTGTTGTGTTGCAAGAGCCTGGTGAACATTGGGTGAATGACAGACAGCACTACAGGCAGAAGCAATGACTCATGAGCAGTCGTGCTCGTGTGGTATGGCATCTGGGCAATGTGAAATCCATCATGGCCAGAGTGGCCTGTGTTCCTCAGGGTAGGATGGGATGACAAGAAATGAGGTACAGGCAAAGGTCTTGGCGAGACAGGCAAGGTGCTTTGTGATTGGGGCACACATGTACAGGCAGTCGGGAGCCAGAGAGAAGGTTTAATCTGGGAGCCACCAAGGGAGTGGTCCAGGAAGAGGTGATGTCCCCATCCTGCCCCCAGGAGAGCATGAGCTCATGGTCCCCTGTACAGCTGCAACTGTCCCTGTCCTTCTGTGGTGCCTAGAGGTCTGCGGAGCCAGGCAACTTGCCCTGGATGCCCTTGCTCCGTGGCCGCGTCATTCCAGGGATTCAGAAGAGTGAAGGGCTCCTTTTGTCTTCACAAGTTACAAAGTTGGCTTAAAGCAGCTGCTCTGAAACCCACTTGCCTCGTATGTGCTCCACAGATGTTCTTTTCCTCTTGAGAAAGGGGACCCTTTTGTTTCCTTTTGCTGTATTGAAGGCAACTTCAAAGACCTGTGATGCCCCTGGTCAAGATTGGGCTTTTTTGCCAGGATGACCTTAGGTTGTGGGTCCTTGCTGAGTTTGCTCTGACTGGGGTTCCGTTCCAGCCGGAGGTTGGATGGAGAAGTGGGGAGCACTCCAGAGAGGTGGGTATGTCAACTCGATGCTGGTTTCAGTAGCCCGTGAATATCCTGTGAGTAAGTGAAGTCTGGGGTGGTCTCACTCTGTAAAGGGGCCTCCCCATCACCCTTGCCTCAAGAAACACGAGACCAGAGGCCTCCTACAGGGGTAGGCACCCTGGTGCTGGGGTGGAGGGAGGGCAGAGGAAGAAGGCACCGCTGGTGGTGACGCAGACCGTGCCTCCCCCGCCCCCCCGCCTCAGATCCTGATCTCGGCCGATGACGAGATGGAGGAGTCTGACGTAGAGGAAGACCTGCGCAGACTGACCCCCCTGAAGCCCGCGAAGAAGAAGAAGCACCGCTTTGGGCTGCCCGTGTGACACACTCCTGCGCTCGGGTCAGGTTTGGGGGCCCAGCCGGCTGCCGGGTCCTTCCTTCCCTCCTCCCTGCCCTTCCTCTTCTACCTCCGCCCCTCTTGCCGTCTCCGCCCCCTCCCAGACTACTGTGACTCGACAGAGGGAGGACGGGCCGGCGCCGAGGGGTTTGCGGCAGCCGGAGGCTCCCACTCAGTTGCACTACAAACACTGACCAAATATGCAAGCGAGGCATTTTGTCTGTCTGTCGTTGTCCCAGACGGTGTTGTGAGGGACCCAGAAGCCCCGTCCTGTGTCTGGCTGGGTGGCATCGAGGAGGGAAACACGCACACACACAGGCTGTGGGCAGAACCTTTCCGCAAGGCTCTGGGCGTGTGGACACATAACACGTTTGGGGCTAAAAGTCACTCATTGACCAAGTTGGAACCGCAATGCTTTCTTACTCGAAATGGCTTTGTAACTACTGATTTCTAAAGCCGGTTTTATGAGCTGTCACAGTGTTAATGTTTTTTGAGTATGTGTTTATTTCCTATGGGACTAATGGGCAAAACATAGATTTTTTAAGTCTTCCGTACGCTGTTGACTTTTATATTTTTAAGTTATATTTTCATACTATTGTATTTAAAAACTCTTTTTAATCCCCAAAGAAATGGGTTTGTTTGCCTTCCATGAGATGTGAACTGGTGGGAAGAAAAAGTCAAGAGTTTTGTTAATTTGGAATATTTGTAGGCAATCTGCGATAAGATGAGGTAAATGGTCTCAGCAGGAAGGGAGATGAAGCCTTATCTGAAAGGAACAAACCCAGTGAGTCTGTGTAGGGCAGGCCTGACTGGGAGGCAGCTGGTCTGAAGGTCGATCTAGGGCCCCGGTGCGTGTGGGACAGGAAGTGCTCTGTCCAGTGGCTTGGTTTTTCTGCTGGCAGGTAGAGGTTTTAGTTAAATGTGACCAAGAAAAGAGCCTAAGAGGTCTGTGTCCAGAGAAACTGAGACCTCGAGGCCAGCCCTGTGTGTTCCCTGTCTCTCTTCAGAGCCTCCAAATCTGTAGTTTAAAATTCAGTCTGGGCCTCCTTGCCTCCCACTGGTGCAGCCTTCAGAACCAGCTGCTGGACCAGCCCCAGGAACTTCCTCTCAGGCTGCCCTCTGCCTCTTGTCTTACTGCATCCCCTTGTTTTGCACAATAGTCTGAGGAACCCCTGCCTGCCCAGTGATCCTGTTTCTCACGTCCTTCAAAGATACAGGGCAGCTGGGGACGGGGCAGGTTGAGGTGCAAGAGCTTACCATCTGCCTCCACAGGTAGGCGAGGTGCTTCTAAGCCCATGTGCCCTCCCTGGGGAGCGGCCCCACTCCTCAGCATGGCCACAGGCCCCCGTAGCTTTAGGAGTCTGCTGACCACAGTGGAATGGGTTGGCCTGGGCACTTGCCCTGCTGTGAAAGCAGCACGGTGGAGCAGCCAGGGTTTTGTCACAGCCCAGAGGCAGCCACAGAAGTTAAGGAATAGATAACTACACCACTAAGGTGGGAGCTGGAAGTGAGACAGGTGCAGAGAGGCCACCTGGTCCAGAACCTTCCTTTTAGACCTACATACAAAAGTGCTGCCCTTACGTAGATTGGGTCTGAATTGCAGCGTGGGAGCCAAACTGTTAAGCCCTGGGCCTGCCTCACCTTTCACATCCCACCCAGGGGCAGGGCAGGGGGAGTGGGCTTCTCAGCCCTTCTTCCTGTGGGAGTCTGGACCCAGAGGGCTGAGAGGAACTGGGACCTGTCACTGCCGTGAGCAGCGACTCTGCAAAAGTGGGCATCTGCCACAGGAGGCAAGATTGCGAGCAAGACTAGAGGCTGTGTCCGCTTCTGCCCTCATTTAGGCTGTTAACCCCCTCCCGTCCCTGGCCACGGTGAGGTGTCTGCCCTGGAGAATCGGTGCTGGGGAAGACCAGAATTAACGTTGTGCCTGCTGCACATCAGCCCCTCGTGGCATTGCTGGCTCCCTGTACTTTTCCCTCCTGTTTCATTTTGTCTGAACAACCTGTGCCCATCGCTGTTTCCTGCACCTTACTGAGCTCAGAATCAGAGATGTGCTTTCAGCCTTGAGCTCCAGGCACAGCGAGTGGGAGAGACACAGTCCACGAAAGATGGAAAGTAGGGGTTATGTAAGCCTCAACAATCTGCTCTTCCGAAGGCCCTTCCCAGTGCCTGCTGGGCAGTGGGTTTGGGGGACAAAGTGGTGGAGAGTGAGTGGCGGTTTTTCCCTGTATCCTGATTTTCAATAAGGGCTTTAGTCTCTGAGCCACAGTCATAGAGCTGGCTGACTAGGGGATGAGTGTCTAATCATAGAGGGCCTTGTGGTGTGTGGGACTGGACAGTGTGGCCTTGCCTGTTTGGCCTTATCTTCCTGTGTGTGTGTGTGCATGGGTGTATAACACACACATATACAGAGTTTGTATTCCCTGGAGTGTTTCCTGCAGTCACTGGGGTTTTTTCTGTGGTACACTGTCCCAGGAGAGACCAGATGCAGAGGGCCATGGTCAGAACTTCCCCTGAGCTGTCCTCCTTCCCTCCCTGGGATGAGTCTCCTCTCCACCTGCCCCAAGGTGCCTTACGAGGTACAGCTCTTTACCCAGCCACATGGCAAGCGTCACTGTGCTTGAGAAACCATGAGACACCAACTGGACATTGTGTGCTATCGTGGACCTTGGCCAAGCCATGCATGATGAAAGCTTATAAGTCAAGGTCATGAACAAGTTTCTTGTAACTGATGGAAATAACCTGATGAGGTAAAACTGTCACATCTCAATGGAAGGAATCATTGTTGGCCTTATTTCCTTTTGTTGTCAGTGGCATGTGGACAGTGGCAAAGGGGGATGTTGGTGAGATCCTGGGCGGCAGTGGCTTCTTGGTCTGCTCAGAAGACCTTCAAGATAAGGGCCCGTGGCCCATTAGTTAACCCACAGGCATGCTGGTGGCCTCCTGCCTCAAGCTTTAACTCATGCCCCTTCCTGGCAACAGGGAGTCCTAGGCGAGTATTGTCCTATCATGCCTTTAAAGGGAAAAGATAAGGCTCAAATCCTAGGCAGTGTAGTCCTGTGGCCTGCAGCACAGAGGCCCCATCTGTCAGCTGCCCAGGAGCCCACTCTGGCCTCCAGACAACAACTCACTGGCCTTTTCACAGCCAGGCCAACATAGACGGCTCTAGGAACTTCTCATTGGCCAAAGCAGCCACCTTGTAGGGTGTAGGGTTGGCGTTGAGATGTTGCACACACTTCCAGCCAGGAGTGGAGAGCTCTCTGCTTTGCCCTGTGCGGCACTGGCAGTTCTGAAGGGCTTTGCTCTTGGTGAGGGACTTCTGGTCCAATGGCTGTCAGCTCCTTGAGCTCCTGGCTGGGTGGGTGGGTTGGTTTCATTTGATTTCTCTTTTCATGATGTTTCTTAGAACTCAGACCAATGTGAGCAAACCATGGCCTATTTCCACTGCCCTTCTGGTGGGGGTGTTTAATCAGTGATGACTCACAGAAACCCATTTTTGAAATGAAAGGGAAGATGATGTACTTAACATTGTACAATGGTTTACAATAAAGTTTCACATCTTAATACCTTTTTTTTTTTTAAAAAAAACCCATCACTTGTGGCTGTTGGTTGTGTGTTCTTTGGAGTTGAAACAGCTTAATGGGGTCAAGAAGATTTCCCCAGTGAGTTAGAAGATTCTCCCCCAGGAAGCCAAGTGTGAATGAACCTACATCACGTCGTGACACACACCGGAGCCAGAATCTGCCAAGGGAACAAGCTAAAAGTACTCTTGCCTTTTCCACTTACCTGTTAAGGCGAGTAAAAGCTGCTTTACCTCCCACTGAGGAGCAAGCAGTACTGGGAGATTGAGGGGTGAGGAGCAAGGCCACGGGGCTGGCAGGCAGGTGCCTCCCTGGGCAGAGCCAGCTGGGGTGGCGGGATTGGGGGCAATGCCAAAGCACCCTTCCCAGGCTGGGCCCACCCTCGGTGCCTTTCGGCCCCATTTGCAGTCCTGGGTCCGTGCCCCTGAGTGCTGGTCTCAGATGGAGCCTGGCAGTCCTCTCATTGGCCTCCTGGGACTTGGAGGGGGAGATTGGAGGCATGACAGCAGTGGAGTGGTATTCGGGATAACCAAGTGTCAGTGCCTGGTGGGGTTCTGTCTGCCTGGAGCCTCCAAGGATAAAAATAATCCCCACCACACACTGACCAGGAGCTGGAATGTGGCCGACCTCCCACCCACATCACCTCCCCACACCCATCTCAGGTGGAGAGTTCTGCCTTGCGCCCCGAGGGTCTCCCCTTCAGGGATGGGCTATTAGGAGCTAGCAGAAAGCTAAATGGCCTTCAGGAGAGCCCTTGGGCCTGTCCCTCTCTCCACAGCTCAGTGCCTGGAATGGGCTTGGATCTCGCCCACCTGCTTTCAGCAACCTAAATGTCAGGCCAGGCACCTTTGGGTGACCTCACCCAGTCAGAGGCTCTGTGCCCTTCCCTGCCTACACTCACCAGTGCCCTTACCACAAAGCAGGTTTTCTTCTGGTCCTTTCTGGGCACTTTACCTCCCGCCTTTTGTCCCTTTGCTACCCTTGCACTAGGAGCCAGGCAGAGGGCAAAAACACAGATGAAGCAGCTCCCCGAGCTTCTCACAGCCTCAGCTGCTCACCTGTGAACCATGGGGGGCTGTGCTCACTGTGAGCAAGTGCTCCCAAGTGTCACACACAGGAAGCTTCTGCTCTGCTGCCATGCAGGATGGAAAGTCTCTTTCCTCTGGAATCCATAGAAGGGTAAAAGAGAGGGAAAAATAAGCTCAGAGCGGTCCAGCCTAGCCCAGGGCCCTCCCTTCCCTCAGGGACACCCACCCCATTGGGATGGACTCTCCCAGGTGGACAGCTCAGGCTGCCACACACATTCCAGGACCCACGCTCATGAATCCTCATTGCGCACTGCCAGGCCTGGCACCTCCCGCCTGCATAAGAGCACCTGTTCTCGAGGGCCCCGGGTCTCCCCAGCTGTCCTTTTCCACCAGGGCTATGGCCCCCAGGCAGCAGTGCTCAGCGAGCCCCTATCATCTCTAAGAATAAACTCTGAAGCTGCAGGCTGTGCGGACCTGAATCATCGGGAAGCCCATCGAGGAGGGGAGTGGCTTTCCGGGACAGGCAAGTGGACTATATAAGCCCCAGAGGGCTGGCGCTGCCCCGATCTCTTCCACCGGCTTCTGCCTGCCAGAGGGGAGCCTTTGCAGCAGCTCTCGCACAACGCCCACCATGTCCCAGGTAGGAGGGCCCGGCACAGGCCGGGTTGGTGCCGGGGGGGTGGGGATGGACAGCTGGACACTGTCACCTCTGACAGTTGTGTCCTGAGCTGAACTGCAGGCGTAACGAGAAGCTCTGTGAGCCCCTGGGAGGCCGGGGCTCAGGAGGGGCAGCACTGGGCCCCAGCTTGCCGGCAAACCCCCATTTATCTTGGGTTTGGTGTTGTTCTGTGGCTTGTCAGGAGGGTAGAGACAACATGTGTGATACTTCAATTTGTGTCTGCCTTTGTGTGTGAAGAAGTTGACCATAGGACTCGTTTGTAGCCGTGTGTGTGTGTGTGTGTGTGTGTGTGTGTGTGTGTGTGTGTGTATGCGCCTGCGCACCAGGCGGGATCTGTGGGTGCATAACTTCCCCCAGGCATCTCCCCAGCAGGATATATCTCGGTGCAGGGGGTGTACTGTGTTGCTGCAGGATCCCAGCCCAGACTCAGGGACCAGGAAGTCCCTGCACCTGTCCCCAGGGCTTAAGAAGGAATGAGGCCTCAGACTCCTGGGCGCCTGGGGTTGAATGGTAGGATAAGCACTGAGTCTGAATATCCCCAGTCTGGAGAGGGATGGACTTGTAGGTCAGTGCTAAGGCATGCTAAGTGGAGGTTCTCCTTGCTACCTGCTCCATGGGTGGGTGCTGACTTTGGACCGACTTCACGGGCATCTGATTTTTCCACCAGATTCCCACCCCAAAACGCACGAGGCAAATGCCGGCAGTTTGGGGGAGAGAGAGACAATCCCTGAGGGGCCCTTGCCACCCAATGAGCAGATCTTGGAATTTACCCAAGGAAACTCCACTCAAAACCAGCCCCTTTCCCCTTTGCCCTTCGTTCCCAGGCCTGAGCTTGGCCAGGCAGGCAGTGTCAGGCCACAGTAGCCATGGTCCCCATGCTCCTGGTCTGTGGGGGAGGTAGAGAGAGACGTGGAGGCGGGGGTGGAGCATGGTTGGGAGAGCTTCCTGGAAGAGGAGTGTAGCCTTAAATTGGCTTGAGTTCAGTGACCAGAGAAGAGGGGTCTCAGGGCCAAGGCAGTGAGGTAGGAAAGGGCTTTCACCCTTGAGGCCTCAGGTTGTAAGATGAGGTTCTGGGCTCTCCAAGGCTGGTGCTCAGGAGGCCCCCATCAAGAAGAAGCGCCCCCCCGTGAAGGAGGAAGATCTGAAGGGGGCCCGTGGGAACCTGGCCAAGAACCAGGAAATCAAGTCCAAGACCTACCAGGTCATGCGGGAGTGTGGTGAGTATCCTCCTGGGCAGTGGGGGTGGAGGGGGGAGGTGTCAGTGGGGGGGGGATGGGGAGAGGGGTCCCAGCATCCTTTCCTGAGTCCAGAGCTCCTGAGCAGGGGGGGCGCTCCCCACAAATGCCCCTGCCCACACCTCCCCATCCTGCCCACAGAACTAGCTGGTTCCACCGCCCCGTCGGTGTTCAGCGGCACCCGGACCGGCACCGAGACCGTCTTTGAGAAGCCCAAAGCTGGACCTGCCAAGAGTGTCTTTGGCTAAGAAGTGCACACCATTCCTCTCACCACTGCCAACTCCTAGATGCAGGAGCCTTTCCCAAAAACTTTTTTTATGCCAGAATGCACCTTCTCACCTGCTGCCTCTGGGACTGCCGCCTGTCCCTCAGAGCCCTGGTCCCTCAGCCCAGGGAGTCTGCACCGGCACCTGGGGAACAATAAAGAGGATGCCCAAGTGACTCCGGCATTTGGAGGGTGTTAGTTGGTCACCAGCCATAGCCGATCAGTGTAGGGGAGGGGCAGGTGGGGTAGGGGGTGGGGCATGTTCTGTACCCTTTGTGGGCTTTTCGGAGGTCCCAAAGGATAAGGCCGGTGCCATTACAGCCACTGCCACATGCCAGAAAGTCTTGGACGTGGTGAACTGGCGCTGAGCTGTGTGGCTTCAGACCAGTCTCTGCCTTTCTGAGTCTCAGTTTTCCCTCCCATCTGAAAAGGGACTAGAGCTGGAGCCTGTTGCATAAAACAGGCCACAGTAACACTGCTCAGAGTGAAGCAGGTGGGGGCCCGAGGCTCACCCCTCCCCCTGCTTTCCACAGAAGATGTTGAGATGCTTCCAAGGACCCCAAGGCTCTGCAGGACCAGGTCACCTCAAAACCCCTTTCCTCTGGGGCCCTTAGTTGTACCACCTCCTTGCCAGCTCACACCCCTTAAAGACAAAACCAGGTCGAGGCCCCTTTCTGGCCAGTGGTAGTCTGCTTACTGAGCTGCTCCTTTCTCAGACTCAGGGTGAGCCTCCCCCTCGCCACTCCCACCGGTCCGCCTGCATTGTGAGAACTCCAGGTCCTTGGCTCATGAGCAGTTCTTCCGTCCTCAGGCTTCAGTGTCCCCTGTGTGCGTGGAACTGTCAGATCCAGGGGACTGCAGGAGTCTGTCCCCCTGTGACAGCAAAGCCATAGGCAGTCCTCCCTGCTGCCTGCACGGAAGTCCGCCTGTCCCCTGGGCATGTGGGGGTGGCTGCTTGGAGCCTTCCCCACGTTCTCAGCCAGCATGGCGTCCTTATATAGCTGTCTTCAGGCTGGGCCCGTGCTCTGTGCCCCGAGTGGCCCTTCTGTGGGGCAGGGCCTGGGCCTGCTCACCGTGCTCCTCGGGGGGGGGGGGGGGGGGGGTGGGCTGTTTGCTCAGATTGCTGACCGGGTGTGAAGCCCTGGATGATCCCAACCATATTCAGAGCCAAAGGGCAAGCAGTATAGATGCGCACAGAGATGCTTTCTGGAGGGGAACATTGACTTGCAGCCAGAGACACAGCTCCAGAGTCCTGGATGCTCCTGCCACTGATGGAGGGGAACTTGGGGGCCAGTCACTGCCTCAGAACCTTGTGTCGGCCCCCGAAATGGCTACTCCCCTCCCTCCCCACCCCCACTGACAAGTGTCACCAAGTCACCCTCCTTCCTCAACCCAGGGCTTGGCACCTGGCCACCACTTTCCTGAAGCAACTTTACCTTATCTATGGCCAGACTCGGGAGCTGGGCTGTCCCAGAGCCGCCAGGGACGCAAGCACCAGCTGCATCCGGATCCCTTAATATTTATTCATTTTATTGCTATTTGTTATAAAAGCAGCATTTCAAGTTTATTAAAGAAAAATTGAAAAAAGCTACTGGTAATCCTACCCCAGGCCCTCGGGTGCATTCCTACAGGTCTGGGCTCAGGACAGTGGCACTGCCTTGGTGTGCTGATGGCTAGGTGTCCTGCGCTTTCTCACGCAAGCCATGAATCATGGGCTCCCTTGGCATGACCGACCTCCACAGGCTATCTGAGTGCACACACCGCCACAATGAATCACCCCCTTCAGGACTTGTGTTGCACGATTTCCTATCAATAAATTACCCGGAAGGAGACTTCCGGGCCACAAGGTGCAGGCATCTTTATGGTTCTCAGTTTGTATTGCCAAAGTGCGGGTCTTGTTCTGGCAGCCTTGCTGGAGTTGAGCCAAGAGCCCTAGGTAGGTTAATGGGGGCTGACAGCAGCCGGGGACCCAAGGAGAGAGAAGGGGACCCCTGGACCCAGCCCCTCTCACCCCAGAAATGAAGTGTCTCCATCCTGCCTTGGCCCCAGCATATCTTGCCCCACTCAGACACTCCAGTGGCTCCTCAGAGCCATTAGGGCCCTCACTGCCCCGTCACATCAAGCTGGCCTCCGGTCCCCCTGCCTCCTGGAAGCCACCCCCTAGCCCTCCTGTTCTGGGCCATCCCTATTTCCCCCAGACTGGGCTTCTGGAGAGCAGGCTGGTTCACTGGTGTATCTCCCAGACCTAGGGAGCTGGCTGGTGCAATGGCTGGTATGGGGGGTGGTAGTGGCCTGGGGTGACCGTGGACCTTACAGAAGGGGTGCCGTACCCAACTCCCACCTGAGCTTGCTCTTCCTCGGTACATGTTCCTGTCCCCAGCCAAGGTCCACAGGATATTCACAGTTTACTTATCTGAGGCAACTGCAGTTTTTGGCTTGTAGATCCCAATTTCCCAGAACCTGCCCCCACAGGGGCGGGACAGCAAGCATGTTATTAATTCATTCCCCACTTCCTCTCGAGTTCAGAAGCAACCTGCCAGGCACGGGAGCCAAAATGAAGACTTCAGCCCCTGGCCGCGCCTGTGGCATCGCGACGGTCCTGCTCTCTCTGCTGGCTGTCCTTCACACCTCCACCCCCCAAAAGGTAGTGGGTGTCTGTGGGGGCCTGAGTGTGAATGGTGTGAGCTGATTAGCAATGGTGAGAGCCTCTGCACGTGCAAGCATTATGTGGACAAGGGAGCGTGGATCAGTGTGTGTGCAAAGAGTTGGTGCTGACCATCCACCAGACACTAGCCCGGGCTGTATGGTTCCTCTCTTACTTAACAGTAGGGAGATCTAGTCCCATTTTATGGGGAGAAAATGCAGCCCAATAAGTTGCTGCTAGAGGCCGGCAGTGGGGGGCGTGGGGAAAGGGGTAGGAACGGGCTTCACGAGGGGCACCTGGGTGGCTCAGTTGGTTGGGCAGTTGAATATCCAGCTTCGGCTTAGGTCACGATCTCACAGTTCATGGGTTTGACCCCCACATCGGTTTGGTGTGGAGCTTGCTTGGGATTCTTGCTCTCTCCTCTCTCTCTGACCCTCCCCCACTTGCACTTTTTCTCTCTCTCAAAATAAGTAAATAAACTTTTTAAAAAATGGGTTTCATGAGCCCAAGTCTACCTCTCCCTGGCTGAGTGGCCATGAAGGAGTTATTTATTTAGAGTTTGTTTATTTATTTTGAAAGAGAGAGAGGGGCATGCAAGCAGGGTAGGGGCAGAGAGAGAGAGGGACAGAGGATCCGAAGCAGGCTCTACGCCAACAGCAGAGACCCCAATGCGGGGCTCGAACTCACAAACTGCAAGATGATGACCTGAGCCGAAATCAAGAGTCAGAAGCTTACCCGATTGAGCCACCCAGGTGCCCCAGGAGTTATGTACTCTGTGTCTGTTTCCTCATCTATAAAAAACTAAAAAGAAAAGCTATTCAAACCTGTAACATTTATAAAGAACTTAGTACAGTGCCTGCCACCCAGCAGACACTCCCGTGTATACATAAGCCGCTGGGCCAGTCACCTGTCTCTGTGCAGACAGAGACACACCTGTCGCTGTGCACCTGTCCGCGTGCACAGCGGAACATACCGTGTGCAGGCAGCTGGTGTGCACATGTCCTTCCCTGGGGACCACAGATCTGGAGGAGAGCATATGTCTGAGGAGGGTCCACAGCTGCAGGGTCAAGGGGGCAAAGAGGAAGGCTCCCAGCGATTAGAGACTGGGTCCTCATCACTTCCAAGTTCTCCTAGCTCCTGTGAGCACCTGGCGGGAGACAGGCAAGAGCTGTTTTTCCCAGTTTCCACGAGGCTGAGGTCACCAGAAATCACAGGACTTGTTCATTACCCTTTTAGTGGGCAGAGCTAAGATCAAGTGTGAAGATTCCTGACCCATCTAGGGCCCCCTGCCTGAGGAGTAAGTGAGAGTTGCTTCCCAGACGCACTGGACCGCAAGCTCCACCATCATGGCCCTGAAGGGTGGGGAACGAAGCACATAGCTGCCTCTTATGTGAGACTGGTGTTCACATGTGGAATGTATCATGGGGTTTGGCTGGAGGCCTGGTCAGTGGCTCAGTCGGGGATGGGGGCCAGGGCTTGGTCTGGGACTCTTTTTAAAGAGAGCTGCCTCGAGCTGGACTGGCATTGAGACAAACCCATTCCTCCTCCTTCATTGGTCCAGAATGACATTGACATCTACAGCCTCACCGTGGACTCCAGGGTCTCATCCAGATTTGCCCACACAGTCGTCACCAGCAGGGTGGTCAACAAGGCCAATGTTGTACAGGAGGCCACCTTCCAGGTGGAGCTGCCCAAGAGAGCCTTCATCACCAACTTCTCCATGTAGGTACCTTCCTGCCCTCCTCCTCGTCTCCCTCCCCAACTCAACACCATGACACCAGCTTCCCCGATGGCACCCAGTCAAGAAGAGCGAGTCTCTTCCTGATGTGAGGTGTGCCTTAGGTGTGTGTGCTCAGCCTGTAGGCAATACAGGGAACCAGGGACTTGACCCACAAACTTCAGTACATTCTCAGAAGTGTTCCATACCTCCGCCCTCCACCCCTCCCTCCTTCCATCCACCCCACCGTCCATCCCTCTGTGCACCATCCCCAAATACTGCCCAGTTGACAGGTGGAAAACCACAGCATCTTGGTTTCTTTGCCTCTGAGGAGTACAGAGTTGGGGCATCCTGAGGCCCAGGCCCAGGCAGGAGGGAGTCACCCAAAGGCAGAGTCCAGCTCAGAATACAGAAGACTTCCTAACTCTGGGACTGCCCCACAATGGAGCAATGCCTTGAGGAGGGGGATCTCTTTGTCATAGGAAGTTCCAAGCCAGGCTAGTCCCCTCCCTCCCACCTGGGATACTGCAGAGGGCATTTCTGCTCTGGGCCAGAGGCCAAGAATTGGGAGACCCCTGGGATTTCTGTGGACTCTGTGGCTCAGTGCTAATCCTCACCTTGTCCTCCTCACCCTTCCCAAATGTTTTGCAATGTTTGTCCAATACATGAGAACCCTCTCTATCTGTCCTTGTCCCCACCAGAGAGGCAGTGATTGAGGGCAGGCCAGAAAGAGGCTGATCCCAGCAACTCAGGGAGGGTGCTGGGTGGGACAGAGAGCAGGCTCAGCCGGGGTCCCCAAACTACCCTGAGACCTCTGAAAAACTATAGTGGGGGCTGGGTCCCTGTGCTCGGCTCCTTCTTCTTTCTTGGCCACTGCTTCTCCTAAACCTGGAGCGGGGGCCTGTGCTGTGTGAGCACTTTGTGCAGTGTGTGCTCTGCAGGCGGCCCCCAGCCAGCTTGGGGAGCAGGGCACCCTGCCCCCTGCTTCCCTATGCCCTACAGCAAATCTGGGCCCAGGGAGTGGCGCCAGCCCGGGGCTCTCAGCGCATGTGATGGGCCCAGAGCCTGGCAGCCTGCTGGCCTTGGCACCCCAGCTGGGCGTCCAGGAGGAGGAGCCCTGCAGCCCACTCTGCAGCCCCATCCCTAGCCCAGGGTTAAATTATGACCAGGAATGTCAGGAAGGTGGGGAGGAGGAACACTGGGTCCTAATACCCTGGCTACCCCCGCTGACCCCTGCACACCCTTTCATGCCACCCCCAGGTGGAGCAGGGCTGTGTTTGCCCAACACATCCCTGCTCGCCTCCCAAGGAGGATCTGGAGTAGTCATTTTCATTCCAGAGGAGAAGCCCTGGTAGCTCTTTCTAGTCCCCAAAAATAGGATTGTGGGACCCACACCACTGGGAGTCCAGTCCACCCGTTGTCCAACACCTGCTTCCCCAGAGGCCAACCTCCCTGAAGAGCCCCCTGCCCTGTGCTGGCAGGGGGAGGGGCCAGAGGCTTTCAGTGCTGCGTTTCCCACTGACCTGGGAGCCCGGCATCTCTCTCCTTCCCAGTCTTCCCCGCACAGGTGCACGCAGGGCTGGGCACAGGGGCACCCCAGAAAGCTCACTGGTGACTGACCAGTTCTTCTGGGAGCAGGCTGTGAGATGAGAGGGAAAGCTGGGATGTGGGGCCGGACTGCAAGGGTGAAGAGAGGCTGGGACTTAGCTCAGTCCTGCCTCCTCTGCAGCCTCCTTCCCCTGTGTGTTCGGTAAACGCATGTTTGCCAACACTGTGCACGCCTCAGGGTAGATGGAGGCGTGGCATAGCATGCAGAGCTCTACTCCCCACCTGGGGTCCTGCACAGACTTGTATACAGTAAGTACATAATAAACAGGGATGGCCTCAGGCAGAGACAGGAGTCACTCTGTTAAGAGGCACACCGAGTCAAGGGAGGCTCCCTGGAGGAGGTGGGATTGGAGTGGGCTGCCTCTATCAGGCCCTCCACAAATCTTCCCCTCCTGCCACAGGATCATTGACGGTGTGACTTACCCCGGGAACATCAAGGAGAAGGCTGCAGCCCAGGAGCAGTACAGCACGGCTGTGGCCAGGGGAGAGAGTGCTGGCCTCATCAAGTGAGCCAAAGATGGTGGTGGGAAGGGACCCCAGGGGGATGGGGGCAGAGGCTGCCCTGCCTCCAGCCCTTCAGACCCTCTCCAGCCTCCAGTGGCCATAACCCCGCCCGGCCTGGAGGGACAAACCTGACGTCCCTCTCCCCCAGGGCCACCGGAAGAAAGATGGAGCAGTTCCAGGTGTCAGTCAATGTGGCTCCCTCTGCCAAGGTCACCTTCGAGCTAGTGTATGAGGAGCTGCTCAAACGGCGTCTGGAAGTGTATGAGCTGCTGCTGAAAGTCCAGCCCCAGCAGCTGGTCAAGCATCTGCAGGTACTGGCACCGCCTTTTCCCGGGAGGTCTCCAGGAACACACCTGCTCTGCTGAGGGCAGCCCCTCCTTCCCCCTCTGCCTCCCCAGAGGCCCAGCCCCAGCTCTCTGCCAACCCAGTGACCCGCTTCTTGCCTCCAGATGGACATTCACATCTTTGAGCCTCAGGGCATCAGCTTTCTGGAGACAGAGAGCACCTTCATGACCAACGAACTGGCAGATGCCCTCACCATCTCACGGAACAAGACCAAGGTGGGCCTGCCATTGTCAGCAGGCAAGGGTACCAAGGGGCCTGCTGTCCGGCCAGCCTTATGAGTCTGTCCGGAGAGCGGGACAACTGGGCAGAATCTCTGTGCTGGAGGGACTTCTGAGGTCTGTGTCCCTGCTGCCACTTGTCAGAGGTGGAGGACAAGGCCCAGAGAAGGGTGGTAGGTGCTGGTGTGGAGAAGGCTGTGGGGAGGAACCTAAGTGAGGGCCCCATAGATGGAAAGGGGCCGCCAGCTGGATCATGCATATCCTGAGCCGGGCCCCTGCTGGTGCAGCTCTAAGAGCAGAGGTTCACTCCCCCACTCCCCTATGGGGAGTCATTCTCTCCAACAGCTCAAGGCCATATCCTGGAATTCTTGCTTCAGATGGGGTGGGTGTGGCCATGGGGCTCTTCTCAACCCCAGCCTGTCCTTTCCCAGGCTCACATCCGATTCAAGCCCACACTCTCCCAGCAAAAGTCACCAGGGCAGGAGGACACAGTCCTGAATGGCAACTTCATCATCCGCTACGATGTGAACCGGACCCTCTCCGGGGGCTCCATTCAGGTGTGTGGGCTCCAGGCGAGAATAGGGGCAACCAGAAAATCCATCCATACTCAAGGGCTTGAGCTTACATGTTCTAGAAGGAAAGGCAAAGTAACTGCCCCTACTCATCAGTGTGAACCAGTGGCAGCACAGACCAAAAACAAGCAATTTTGTTATGTTTCCCTGAAACAATTTTCTTTTGGAGGCACAGAAGTTTCATCTCTGCTAAAGAGATGCCTTGCAGGATTTCCCTTATTGCCTTAGCTGGCAGGAGGCTCACAGTTCAGTTTGATGTCCAATGGCAGTAGCTTCTTTCATGCAAGTTTCTGGCTTCATTGTGCTTTCCCTTTACTCTTTTGATGGACCTTGTTTTTTAAAACTTTTTTTAACTTTTTTTTTTTTGA